TGAAGTGCCATGGACGTAAAAACGAGAAATAGTTGGAGATAAGACTGAGCCTTGAAGGACGCCTGTACGCAATCGGCCTTCGGTAGAAATTTGCTAAGCTTGGGATGGATCAAAGATTCTAAAGTTTTAACAGCTGGGCTTAAAATCGACACTGGGCAGTATGAGTCCGAAGATTTGATCTTTGTTTCGTTTCAGGAGGGGTTTTGTGCAAATTTTGGGGAATTTTGTTCAAAGAAAGAGAAAGATTTAAAATGTGTGCTAAAAATGTCATTGTTATTGGTCCAGTTTATTAAAAGTGGACTGTGCATAGACCATCCGGTCGTAATGGTATTTTTTAGATGGACTCTGAAGATGACTGTTCAATGCATTTCAGTTCCCTAGATAGTATGATTCATTTTTCATGGTTTTTCAAAAAAAAATCTTTTTAAATTCCAATTTTAAGTATTTGAAATTGTCGACGCATTGATGGGTGAAATCAGGTTACTACCAGCAGTTGCAGATGTGGCATACACCCCAATTTGATTTCTCGATATGTTCAAGTTGTTGATATTGACTTTCTTTTAATATTTCAAAAATTTTCCTTTACCTATTAGTTGTACGGCAGAGACCATTATAGCTTAAAACTTTTTCAGTTGAATCTTTTTTCGTTTTTTTTAAATGAAAAGTGTCGTTGGATAAGCTCGTTTCTTTTTACGGTTGCATTTCTTTCGATGTTTTTTTTTTCATTTTTCAAAAATATATAATCTGTTTCCATGTTAAATACTCTGTTTCAAACACCTGAGTTGCGTTACACGCTAGTTTGAGTATTTCAATCTTTTCCGAGATTTGACCTATTTTCAAAGAAATGATATTAAATTTTGACAAAAGTTGAATAAACAACCCAGTATTCGGGTGCTGCCTGAGTACTCTCAGTTGTTCAAAATCTTGCCTTTAGAATATGACTGCTCAGATCCTTTTACTTACCGAGATACGACGTTTCTTGAGATTTTTTTTCATAAGTTTTTTTTTCACATAATTTAGATATGAAAAACTCAACACAGGTTTTAAAAATTACTTTAAAAAAATTTTAAAAAATACTTTATTTGAAAAAACTAATCAAAATTTTAAATTCCCAATCCTATAATGGGGCGATCTCATGAAACTTTTAGAAATTGCAATTCTTTTCAAGTTTTGACTGCTTTAATAATCTTTGCTTGCGAGGTAGGCCTTTTTTATGATTTTTTAAAACTTTCCATAAGCCTAAGTTACGATGGGGTGCTGTCGAGGCAATCTCAGGAAGTATTTAGATGGACTCTGAGATGACTGCTCAATGCATTTCAGTTCTCTAGATATGAAGTATGATTCATTTTTCATGGTTTTTCAAAAAAAATTCACTTAATTTCCTTGTTTTTTTCCAAATTTGAAATTGTCGATGCATTGATGGTGAAGTCAGGTTACTACCAGCTGTTGCAGAAATGGCCTAAACCCCAGTTTGAATTCTCCATACGTTCAAGTTTTTGAAGTTGACGTTTTTTTGAATTTCGAAAGTTTCCATTAAACTCTTAGTTGTACGCTGTCGGCCATTCTGAAACCCAGTAGCGTCAGAGATTTGACCATTATAGTTTAAAAATGTTTCAGTTGAATCTTTTTTTGTTTTTTTTAATGAAAAAATTAAAAATTAAAAAAGTACTCGCTAGTTTTCGTAATTCAGCCATTTTTTTAAATTACTTGAAATTTTTACACGCTAGTTTGAGTAATTCAATCATTTTTTAATTTCAATGAAAAAGTTTGATAAATTTATTCAGTTTCTTCACATTTATTTGTTCTTGGTAAAATTTATTCGTTTTCTTGGTATGATTGACGATTCTGATAATTTTTTCATCTATTAGCCCGTATAAATTGTGAAAAATTAATGTTTTCTGTGTTTCTGCTCTTGGAACCATTCTGCACTTAGGCCATTCTGCTTATTGTTCCGCCTCCGACTGTTTCATAGGTTTTGATAAGTTTTGTTTGTTTTTTTTTCAGGAAAAACTTGCTATCGCTCAAATATGTTTTTTACGGTTACGTCCTATTATACTTTTTAATCCAGATAAATCGACAACCTGTTACTCTTCCTTTGCAAATTTATCACCTACTACTTGATTTCAGTCTGATCTTCGAAACGTTTATTGAAAATTTGATAGTTATTTCCTTTTTGTTTCGACCATCGGCGAAGTGAAAACTGAGGGTATTTTTTTTCGCGGTGGTATCATATTGGAACCCTTTCAATCGTGATTCAGGATTCAAAAATATTCTAAAACTTGTGTAGTGATTTGATGATAGGCTCAACTCCTAATTGAATTAGACTGCACTTGTTGTTGCTGTTGTTTTTAGCCCCAAGGGTCCGGTTCGCTCAAACCAAGCCACAGAACGTCGCATCTTCGGTCGGACCGAGCCATAATTCTGTTGGGTTTAAGAAAGTGGTGTTCTGGGAACAGTTAAAAAGATGAAGAGTTGTATAGTTGGAAGGACATTATGGGCAGTTTGGGGAGACATTGGGGTCAATTCGATTTAGTTATGCATTCAGGAAAGGGTTACGATAGTCTGAGAAGCCGAATTGTTTTTTGGGGGGGTATAACTGCTCTGGCTTGTTTACCTCAATAACTGTGTATTTGCTTCTAAAGCAATTTAAAATTGTTTAAGATATGAGTAGTTCGTTTACTAAACCTTTTGAAAGGCGTAAGATTATGAGCTTCGGATAGTTTAGTTTAACTTTCAGGGGCGTATAAGTCAAGCAGCGAAAGGCGGATGTTCTTTGAGGTTTTGGGATAAGGATTATAAAAAAGCGGATTCGAGCGAACGAAAGTGCTGAGAGCAAACTGCGACATCAGTAGATGATGGTGGTGGTCAAGTTTAAAAGTTCAGTTCATAGTCTTAATGTAAATGTTCTTGTGCGCTCATCTTTCTGCACCCTGTTATCACGCCTAGAGCAGCATTTTGAATAGTTTGCAGTTTGTTTTAGTGACAGCGTCGAACCAGGCAGGTCTTGCATAATCTAAAATTAGTCTTATGAAAGCTTTATAAGTAGCCCGTACATTTCTTTGGACTGGCCGAAGAAGTGTCGCATAGAGGCGTCAGGATCAATATCCTTCGCGCGGATTTTGCAGATGTTCGCTTGCAATGATCTGCGAAATTCAGGGACGGGTCGAAGAAGACACCAAGTGTTTAAGGATGTTTCTTGAGTTGCAGTATATTGTTTAGTTCTGTTTGGATCGGCGTTAAAATGTTTGTTAAAAGAAGAAAAAAGGCTGGCGGAGCCTAGTTAGATAATCGGATAAGATTGATGCGGCTGTTTAAATGTTGCTTGACTGGACAAAATGTGGAGTTCTTCCGCGGAAGACTGCAATTTTTTTTCTGGTGGTGATAGTGAAGTGCCATGGACGTAAAATAAAAATAGTTGGAGATAAGACTGAGCCTTGAAGGACGCCTGTACGCACAATCCTAGATTTTCACCAGTTGTTCCTGATCATGGTTGATGCCCTCTCAGACAATTTGACAAATGCCTATTTAGGCTTCCGGTACGCTGGTGCCAAGCAGGAGATCCAGGAGGGTGCAATTGTTCATGTGAAAAAGCTTTCGATAAACAATTGCGGCCAGCATTGTCCGATTCGGGGGCTTTTGTTAGTTCCAACAGTCAGTTTGATGAAAAATTCGAAAGTTTGGTAGTGTTCGGAGGAATCGGGCCAAAGCCATGTTGATGATCGGCTTTCGGTAGAAATTTGCTAAGCTTGATCTTTGTTTCGTTTCAGGAGGGGTTTTGTGCAAATTTTGGGGAATTTTGTTCAAAGAAAGAGACAGATTTAAAATGAGTGCTAAAAATGTCATTGTTTTTGGTCCAGTTTGTTAAAAGTGGACTGTGCATAGACCATCCGGTCGTAATGGTATTAAGAGATTTTCCGCTTTGATTTTTATTCTCAGTTTTTAGACGGATAAAAGCTTTCGAGGCTAGGTTTAAGGGCTTTTCACTTAATTATTTAACTGCTCTTCTTCATTTTTAGCTTATATTCTGCTCACTTTTCCAGTTTTTGGTTAATTGCCATTTTTTTGAATGTATTTAAAGGCAGCTTAAGAAAGAACTGATTTTCTGTTAATTTAAGAAAGAACTGAAAGAAAGAAGCCAAAAAAAGAACTGAATAAGTTTTTCTGTTAATTTTTAGGCCTGTTTTTGTTTATGAAAGTAAAATTTGTTCAGACTCAGTTTTACATTTTTCGGTTTGACTGTTTATTTATTTTAAGTTCAGTTCATTTGCTTTGTTAAAACGAAGGCAAACTACTATCGAACAGCAAAAGGCCACAAAAACGCAATCGGCTTCTAGGTTTCGAAATAGGATTTTAGTTCTTAGATTTCCCAGGGAATTAATAAACACTTACTTTTTGATCCACTTTTATCAAATTGGCTTAGTTTTATCTAAAAAGTGTCGATCTTAAATTGTTTTTTAAATTCAAAAAGCTTGAAAAGTTTACATTTCGTTCTTGATTAAAAATTTTTATCTTTCTCAGCGTTCAATTAATTTTTTTTCAACTCTGTTGGTTACGTGTAATCTTTTCTGTGTGGGTTTTCAAGGTGAGAGACAATTCTTGAGAACTCTCAGGCTGAAGAAATATTCTTTTATTGCTAATTCAATGATAGATGTCCATTTTACGAAGATTCTTCGAGATTCTTAAAGCGAAGGCGTGTAAAATAATTAATTATCTGTGACAGATTTCATCTGTAGACGAGAATAATTTAGATAACCTCATTTCTAGTTGACCCTTATATACACCCTGATTTTACTTTCTCTCAACCGAGACAATTTTCTTTCTTAAATAAAAGCAGTTGCACTAATATCAGAACCATGTGATTGAACGGACTCTTCTGAAGTACTTTTAGTATGTTGGTTTATTTTGAGCTTTTACATTTTTTCAGAATTAGGACACTTTATTGTAACGTCATTGTCTCAAATAAGTTTTCGTCGACAGTTTTTTTTCTATCTTTCAGATATCTGCATGTGAAAAGAACATTTTCTAAAAAGTCACCTGCGTCATCATAAGCCAATGGTAGTAGTTGGTGGTGAAGCTTGGTGCGATTACGAATGAGCGAATAGAGTAGCAACTTGCTTGAAGTAACAGCAACTAGATGTAGCATATCATACTACATGGTCGTGATTGTCGATCAATTGTTTACTCGACTAAAGCTCAACTGTGTACCTTCATAACCTATTCTGTACACTGTTACTAGCCAGCAGGTATAATGCTGAGCGACATTTCGAAACAACTGTACGAAGCGGAACAGCCTCAACACTCTTCGTCAAAGCAAACCACATGTAATAATGCATCAGTCACAGATACTACAACTGATTTGCAACCACAACAATCTCATTTCAACTCTCTCCATGCTGAAAACTCAATATCGGTCGCCGCATCATCAGGCCATAAAAATAACAGCAACTCACCTCACTTGACGACAACGGAGACAGCTGGCCAATGTGGCCCTTTTTCAAGCAGTTCAGCCGAGGTAGGTTTCAGTAGTTCATAATCATAACAAATTTTGATGTTTTCCATCCAATCTTTGAATAATTTGCCTTTTGATCATGACCACTTTTTTAGGATTCTATTGTGTCATCCAATGTAAACGGGGAACAAAACCGAATTAAGTTCAGTAGCAAAACGTGGGGAATCAAATTCAGGAACTAGAAGGTGGTAGTGAAATTGGTTTACGGGTGTACTTTTCAGGCTACGAGATCGGTTTGGGAGGTGCCTGGATCATACGGTCTCAATTCGCCTTCTCATCTCGCGAAAAATAGCAGTAGTGCAGTTCCTGAAAACAGGACCAGGCCTTCAGCTGCCAATTTGGGATCGTCGGTCGCCGCCAGTTTTCAGCTGTCTCATCACCCGCAAGCAGTGTCAAGTCAATTTCGCCCGCAGTCGCCAGCAGCCAAGTTAGGGGGACCTCTGGGTTTGTCGGTTGCGGGCGACTCAGTTGTAAATAGCAACAGTGGCTTCAACGGTCAGGGTCAGGCGAGCCTCGTAGCAAGTCGTATGTCGCCATTCGCGCCAACCTTCACGCCAGCCATGCAGAGTTTGACTCCAGGTACATTTTGATTCTTACTACCATTTCAAAGAAGCTGAGTGCGCCTTTGAAAACGTCGCTTTAGAATTAGTGATTCTAAAAAGAAGAGGATGGATCGAAATTAGTTTAGTTTTACTTATTTAAATGTGCACGAATGAAAAAGCATTTGCATTCACTTTCTGTTATTTTTATTCCAAATAGCGAAGGTGTGGGATAACTTCGTTTTTGGGAGAAATGTGGTACGTTTTGTGGTGAACTATGGATCCAGGTACCGTAATTCTGGCTGCAGTGAAAAACAAGTTTTACTGATGCCAATCAAACTGATTCAATTTTTTTTTGTTGTTTCACCAATTTGGAGTCGTTTTCTAATCATGATTCACATTTTATTTTTAAGAGACCATAATATAATGGCTTTACGTCATTCTAAATCAAAAAGTTTATCTCTTTTTTTTCCCGTTTTTCCTGAGATGGTGTCCAAATGGTAACCGTTCTGTGCTACTTGAAGTTTATTTCATTTACAAGTTTATTTTTTCATTTTGTTTAATGTACAAACAGTTGCACCTCAATTGTTTTGTTGTTTTTCCATGTACTTGTTTGAATTTCTTCTTTTTTTTGGGGGGGGGGGCTGTGTATCAAATTTAGCTATTTGATTGTCTCATTAAATCCTAATTATTACAAAGCAATCATAAACTACCTATCAGCAGTAAGAACCGGACCGACTCATATCTCAGATATTGGTGTGAAAGACGATTTTCAGTTATGTTTGTTGTCGCTCGAATGCTGAGGTCTGCTCTGTTATAATATATCACTTCAACTTATATGATGTTGTATAAGAAGTTTAATAAAGATATCTGATTTTGCGTGGAAAAAAAGAATGTCAATAATCAAATTTTTTTTCTACATTCTATGGTCTAGAGAAATTTAATGTTGAACTATCGAGAACATAATTAAGGCATTGCTGCTTTCTGTGCTCATTGCTTTAAAAAGTGAGCTAACAAACACTTAACTATAATTTTGTTGCATGCTTTCACTGGTGTGTTGGAAAAACGCTAATGAACAAACAGAATTTTTAACGTTCTGTCATGTTTGTTTTCTTCACAAATACTCAAGATACAATGTTGATTTTTTGACATTCTGTTGATAATGTTATTCAAAGAATAACTGAGGTAAAAAAAATCTGAAATTAATAATTTGAATCCACCTGGAGTCGAACGTTCAAATTTCAACTTCCGAAACGATTTACAGAAGTTTTTCAGGAGGTAGAAAACTTCTCTAACAATACTTCATTGCACTCGTATTGAAACAACTTTTCTTACAAATTTTCAATTTGCTTTATAATTGTCCTCTAAGGTCAGGGATTCAATTCATGGCCGTACCTTTTTTATTGTTTTAAATTGATTTGCCGGATTTTGTTTATCTGCGAAGTTTTGTCGGCTTAGTTGCGGCATCACGGATTATTCTTGCGCTGTAAGTAAGTACCATGGTAGTTGCAAGTGATGTTCATTGCAACTTCTGGAGAGACGTGAAATTTTTAAAAGATTTTTGTAACATCTATTTTTTGGCTCAACTGGTGTCTGCTCAAAGATAAACTGCTTTTTACCGCTTCGTAATTTTCAATCAGTTGCTTATTTGAAATTCAAATGTCTCGCTTTGCGTCTTTGTCTAGAATTTTTGTGTGATAAAGACAGGTATTATGAAAATGTATCGGATTGGGTTTTTTATTTTATTTTTATATACTCTTTGGAGTTTTTGTTCTGAGATGACAATTTGAATCGTAAGAACTGGTTGCGAGAAGTTTTCGTGCACAGGCGGCGACCCATTATTTTTGTAGGCCAAAATTTATCTCGTTGGTGAAACTTCTAATGTCTTAAAAATTTTCACTCTTCGCTTTTATTTTAGTAGAGAAATAGTTAAAGGTTTTTGGCAAAGTCCGATTTTCAAAATTACGCATCTCGTCCCGAGTCAGTATAACAAGTCTAAAAAATATCAATTACGTACCTATCAACATAGTGTTAGATAATGTCTGTAAATGGTTTTTTGATCCAGATATATCCTTGTCCTACTGAATAATTTCAGCCACCTCTTGTCAAAGTATCAGCTGCGTTTTTCAAGTAGTTGCTGAGAAAAATACATTTGTGCATTTCATTGGGTATGCACAAAAGTTGCGATGTCTTGAGCAATCTACATAAAAGGCCTGAATATCATCAATACATCAGTCGTACAGCAGCTCAATTAGCCTAATGAGAAATAATTTTGGAGACCTCGGAACTCATTTTACAAAAAGGAGAAAAAAAGTTTTTTTTTATTGATATTCTTTTTTACACAGCGAGCTAGCTAGGGGTAGTGTAATATAACGAAGTCCACTTTATTTACTGTTTGGTGCAGCTACCATGACTCAGATGCAAGGACGTGATCTCCAAGTCAGGGTTTCGATTTTGTTATCTATAAAAAATTCCTTTTTAGGTGACAATGAACGCAGTAAAGAAACATAAAGGTCTAGTTGATTTTGTTTGGTTTGTTGGAAAAGTGTTAAGTTTGATCACGCTCAATTTTGTCGGGTTAAGTTTTGTTTTCTTTATAAGCTCAATTAAAATTCAGTTGCTGAAAGGAATTCAAATCACAGTTTGAATTAGGAAAGCGGAATTGGGGCGAAAAGGTTCGAAAGTGGGTTTCAAATTATAGATTTCCAAGCGGGAAAAAATAGTACTTATTCGTCCAGCTTTCTCTAATTGGTCTGATTTTATGAAAAAGTTGTTGACTTGAAAGCTTTTATGAAGTTCGAGGGTCTATCCTTTTTTCTTTAGATTTTTTTTGACACTTTTGTATGTCATACATTTTCTTCATGAAAATATTTTTCTTTATCTTAACTGATTTCTTGCATTGTGGTCTGGTAAAAGGTCGGTTTGATGAAAAGCCGGTCTGGTAAAAAAGACCTAGCCCCCTATTTTCTGCTTTTTTTGTAGCTAGTGTCTAATGATCTAACTACTAAGAAGCTTTCATGGCTGAGTAGTTAGTGAGTCAGACTGTTAATCTCAAGGTGGCAGCTTTGAAGCTCTGCCTGACGCAGCCGAATTTTTGCTAATTCATGGCTTAATTAAATTTTTTTGTACTTTACTCAGCTGCTTTTTTTTCGTGTTCTCGCTGTTTTTTGCGTAGCGGAACTTCGCCTCTGTGTGAAATTTTGTTATATAGACCGTAGAGTGTGATTTTTGGTTCGTCAAGGGAAGAATTGATAGCTTAAATAACGTTTGAAATGCTTTTGTTTTCATCGGATAAAAGTTGAGGTACTCCTTTTAAGGGGGTCAAAATAAGTACTTCAACTTTTATCCGGTAAAAACATAAATCTCAAACGTTATTTAAGCTATCAATAATTCCATTGGCGAACCAAAAATGACGCTCTGCGGTCTCTAACAAACTTTCACACAGAGGCGAAGCTTCGCAGACAATAGCGAGAACGACAAAAAGCAGCGCTTTAAGTATTTGCTTGATCAAAATTTTCCAATAATTCCATTATAACTTAACCTAAAACGAAAACTCCAATCGATTTTTCTGGACACTGAATAAAGCTCACTGGAAAAACGTCTTGTTCTTTTGTTCCCTTAAATGTCTTTGGTCACGAAATGGTAAATTGTTAAAGTTTCAAATGATAAATTTTCAAATGTGCAGCTTATTCAGCGTATTTGTATTGCCGCTATAGGGCTTGTATTGCAGCGGGTAGATGCAAATTGGGGCGAAAAGGTTCGGAAATGGGTTTCAAGTTAGAGTTTTCAAAGTGGGAAAAAATAGTACTTGTTCATCCAGTTCTCTCTAATTGGTCTGATTTTATGAAAATGTTGTTGATTTGAAAGCTTCTATGAAGTTCGAGAGTCTATTCTTTTTTCTTTAGATTTTTTAGTTGACACTTTTGTAGGTCATACATTTTCTTCGTGAAAATATTTTTTATCTTAACTGATTTCATGCATTGTGGTCTTGTAAAAGGTCGGTTTGATGAAAAGCTGGTCTGGTAAAAAGACCTAGCCCCCTATTATGTGCTTTATTTGTAGCGAGTGTCTAATGTTCTAACTACTGAGAAGCTTTCATGTCTGAGTAGTTAGTGAGTGAGACTGTTAATCTCAAGGTGGCAGCTTCGAATCTCTGACGCAGCCGAAATATTGCTAATTCGAGGCTTAATTAATTTTTTTTGTACTTTACTAAGCTGCTTTTTTCGTTTTCTCGCTATTTTTTGCGTAGCGAAACTTCGCCTCTGTGTGAAAGTTTGTTATATAGACCGTAGAGGGTGATTTTTGGTTCGACGAAGGAAGAATTGATAGCCTAAATAACGTTTGAAATGCTTTTGTTTTCATCGGAAAAAAGTTGAGGTACTTCTTTTAAGGGGGTCAAAATAATTACTTCAACTTTTATCCGGAAAAAAAATAAATCTCAAACGTTATTTAAGCTATCAATAATTCCTTTGACGAACCAAAAATGACGCTCTACGGTCTATATAACAAACTTAAACCGAGGCGAAGCTTCGCAGACAATAGCGAGAACGACAAAAAGCAGCTTTGAAGTATTTGCTTGCACAAATTTTTTCCAATAATTCCATTATAAATTAACATAAAACGACAAGTGCAATCGATTTTTCTGGACATTGAATAAAGCTCACTGGCATAACGTCTTGTCTTTTTTTTGTTACCGTAAATGTCTTTGGTCACGCAATGGTAAATTGTTAGAAAGTTTCAAATGATAAATTTACAATTTTGCAGCTTATGCAGCGTATTTGTGTTGCAACTATAGGGCTTGCATTGCAGCGGGTAGATGCAAATTAGGGCGAAAAGGTTCGAAAGTGGGTTTCAAGTTATAGATCTCCAAGCGGGCAAAAATAGTACTTATCCATCCAGTTTGCTCTAATTGGTCTGATTTTATGAAAGAGTTGTTGATTTGAAAGCTTCTATGAAGTTCGAGAGTCTATCATTTTTTCTTTAAATTTTTTAGTTGACACTTTTGTATTTCATAAATTTTCTTCGTTAAAATGTTTTTTT